TTGCTAACTGTGGTCAAAATTCCCCCACCAGGAGGGCCTGAGAAGAGCCAGGCGGCCTGTGATGGCCTCAGGAGCCTGCCATGCATTTGAATGATCCATCACAGCATGCAGGTCACAGAACCACCGGGTCCCTGTCTTGGAGTTGGGTGACAGCGGAACACACTCTTGGTCTAAGTTCTGAACTTACACAATCTTCTTTTGCTGACTAATCTAGTGATGAGTTTCTTAGCCTTGGAAACGTTAAGAATTCTAGAAGAGTTGCTGTCAGAAAGAGCCATACTCTGGAGAATATTGGAAGAGATTTATTCTGAGCCAAATGTGAGGACCACAACTTGTGACCCAGCCCCAGGAGGTCCTGAGAATATATGCCAAGGTGGTTGCATCACAGTGTGATTTTATACATTTTAGGGGGACAGAACTTGCAGACATCGATCAATACATGTAAGGTGTACATTGGTTCTGTATGGAAAGGCAGGATAACTCAAAGAGGGGAGTGAGAGGTGGGAGTGATGGGGGTGGATTGGAGCTTCCAGGTCATAGGTGGATTCAAGGATTTTCTGATTGGCAATTGGTTGAAAGAGTTAAGTTATGATCTAAAAACTTGGCATCAATAGAAAGGAGTGTCTGGGGATAGGGGGTTGTGGAGACCGAGGTTCTGTTCATGCAGAGGAAGCCTCCAGGAAGTGGGCTTTAGAGCTCTTATCAGACCTAAAAAGGTACCAGACTCTTAGTTAATCTCTCCTGGACCAGGAAAAAGACCTGGAAAGGGAGGGGGATTCTCCACAGGATGTAAATTTCCTCTACAAGAGACAGCTTTGCAGGGCCATTTCAAAATATGCCAAAAAATATATATTCTGGGGCTGGGCGTGGTGCCTCACGCCTGTAATCCCAGTAGTTTGGGAGGCTGAGGAGGGTGGATCACTTGAAGTCATGAGTTCAAGACCAGCCTGGCCAATACGGTGAAACCTCATCTCTACTAAAAATACAAAAATTAGCTGGGCATGATGGCACATGCCTGTAATCCCAGCTACTTGGGAGGCTGAGGCAGGAGAATCGCTTGAACCCGGGAGGCAGAGGTTGCAGTGAGCCAAGATTGCACCATTGCACTCCAGCCTCGGTGACAAGAGTGAAACTCCAACTCAAATACAACAACAACTCTCTCTATATATATATACACACACACATATATATACACACACATATATATATATTCTGGAATAAAATACGTTGATTTCTTTCGGAGCCTGCTATCTGTCATGTGATGCTATACTAGAGTCAGGTTGGAATTTGGTACCTATAAAGATATTGCTTTGTCAGTCTTAAGATCTTTATTTTATTATTGTTTATTTTTATTTATTTATTTATTTTGAGATGGAGTTTTGCTCTTGTTGCCCAGGCTGGAGTGTGGTGGCCTGATCTCCGCTCACTGCAACCTCCGCCTCCTGGGTTCAAGCAACTCTTCTGCCTCAGCCTCCCTAGTAGCTGGGATACAGGTGCCCGCCACCATGCCTGGTTAATTGTTGTGTTTTTAGTAGAGATGGGGTTTCACCACATTGGCCAGGCTGGTTTCAAACTCCTGACCTCAGGTGATCCACCCGCCTTGGCCTCTCAAAGTGCTGGGATTAAAGCGTGAGCCACTGTGCCCAGCCAGATCTGTATTTTAACATTAATGTTGGTCTCTTGTACCTGAATTCCAAAGGGAGAAGAGTATCATGAGGCATGTGAACTCCTCTTCCCATCATGGCCTGAACTAGATTTTCAGGTTTACTTTGGAATGTCCTTGGCTGAGGGCGGGGCAGGGGTAGGGAATGGGGGATGTCTGCCAGTCAGTTGGAGAGCTTAGAACTTTTTATTTAATTATTTTGTATTTATTTTATTTTATTTTGAGGGTCTCGCTCTGTCACCCAGGCTGGAGTATAGTAGTATGATCATGGCTCACTGCAGCCTTCACCTCCTGGGCTCAAGCAATCCTCCCACCTCAGCCTCCTGAGTATAGCTGGGACTACAGGTGCATGTCACCACACCTGGCTAATTTTTAAATTATTATTTATAGAGATGAGGTCTTTCTATGTTGCCCAGACTGGTCTCACACTCCTGGGCTCCAGCGATCTTCCTGCCTTGGCCTCCCAAAGTGTTGGAATGACAGGTGTGAGCCACCACACTTGGTCAGAATTTTACTTTTGGTTTACAGAGTAATGGTGAACACACCGCCAGCGTCTATGGTGTTTGCCGTGTGCCAGGCACTGTGTGAAGCTCTCTATGTTCACTCACGCAGTGTGAACTCTAATCCACTCAATGAATTCTCTTATTTGCCCTGTAAAATGGGGACCACTATGATTCCCATTTTACAGATGAAGAAGTTGGGGACTGAGAGGTTAGATAAACTGTCCCAGGCCACACAACTCATCAGGGCAGGAGTCAGGATTTCCAGCCAGGTCCTCTCACTGCAGGCTGGAACATTTACCACATTCACCACCGTTTGTTGCTTTCAAATAAAAAAACACAGGCAAAACGATTTTTTTAAAAATCTGTTATCTTGCCACCCAGAGATCATTACCGCTAATGTTTTGGCCTTTTCCTTTCTAGTCCTGTGTGAGTGGGAGTCTATGGGTCCCCGGCATTCTGTCTGTTTTATACAAATGAGACCTTCCCGTTCTGTAATCGCTCTGGACACTTTTTGCCTCTATTCCCAGCCACTGTCAGTTTTGTGTATCCCCTGGAGCACGAACTAGGCTGAGATCACCCAGTTTCTTTCTGACACTCAGATTCTAGAGTTCTGTCTCCCACAGGCAGCTCCACGGAATGAGGTTGTGAGGACTCTTCACCAAGGCCTGGCCAGGCAGCGTCCCCCCGGGGCTGAAGTCCCCCCTGAGGGAGGCTGCCCCTCCTCTGAGGTGGGAGTGGGGCTGATGCTAAAGAATTTCTCATGCTGAGTATCAAGTTCAGATGGCGCGTAGGAGGAACAGAAGGTGGGTTCCAGATCTTGGCTTGTGCCGCTTAGCTCTCCAGCTTTGGTGACATGTGCTCAGGCTTTAGCCCATTGAAGGAACAGATTCTGATAGGAACATTCTCGGTTCTGAAGCCCAAGCTCATTCCTCCCCTCTGGAGCCAAGGATGCCAGTATGTGGTGTAAACTGAAACTCCTAGGCTTCCCAGCCAACAGAATGGACCCCTCCTCTCGGCCAAGTGCATTTCTAAAGTAAACCTGAAATACGATTTCACGCCATGGTGGGAATGGGTAGTCGTGCTTCCTCATACCTTCCTCCCTTTGGAATTCAGGCACAGTTGCCCAGCATCAATTTTTAAACAGAGACTTTGGCCGGGCGTGGTGGCTCATGCCTGTAATCCCAGCACTTTGGGAGGCCAAGGTGGGTGGATCATCTGAGGTGGAATTTGAGACCAGCCTGACCGAAATAGTGAAACCCCATCTCTACTAAAGATACAAAATTAGCCAGGCGTGGTGGTGCACCACGCCTGTAATCCCAGCTACTTGGGACACTGAGGCAGGAGAGTTGCTTGAACCCAGGAGGCAAAGGTTGCAGTGAGCCGAGATTCTGCAGCCTGGGTAACAAGAGCGAAACTCTGTCTCAAAAAAAAAAAAAGAAAGAAAGAAACAGAGACTTTAAGATTGACTTTTCGTAGCAATAAGATACCAACGTGACAGATAGCAGGCCCTAAAAGAAATCAAAGAATTTTATACCAAAACATAGTTCCTTGACTTTTTTTTTTTTTTTTTTTTTTGAGACAGAGTTTCGCTCTTTTTCCCCAGGCTGGAGTGCAATGGCATGATCTTGACTCACCGCAACCTCTGCCTCCCAGGTTCAAGCGATTCTTCTGCCTCAGTCTCCTGAGTAGCTGGGATTACAGGCATGCACCACCACGCCTGGGTAGTTTTGCATTTTTAGTAGAGATGGGGTTTCTCCATGTTGGTCAGGCTGGTCTCGAACTCCTGACCTCAGGTGATCCGTCCGGCCTACTTTTTGTTTTGTTTTTGAGACAGGGTCTCACTCTATTGCCCAGGCTGGAGTGCAGTGGTGTGATCATGGCTCACTGCAGCCTCCTGAGCTCCTGGATTCAAGTGATCCTCCTGCCACAGCCTCCTGAGTAGCTGGGACCACAGTGGTGCACCACTACATCCGAGACGGGGTCTCGCCATGTTGTCCAGGCTGGTCTTGAACTCTTGGGATCAAGAGACCCTCCCTCCTGGGCCTCCCAAAGTGCTGGGATTACAGGCATAAGCTACCATGCCTGGCCCTCTATTTTTATAATATAGTCGAGCAGTTGTCAATTTGTATATTTAATCGCACCTGACCACATATTTTGAATTACCACAATATTCCATTTTATTCTTTTTTCAACTCAGTCTGATCTGCTGTTAAATATATCCATTGTGTTTCTAATTTCAAGTATTAAATATTTCATTGCTAGAATTTTTTTTTTTTTTAGTTATTTACACATATATTTTTATTGTTTATCATTCTCTAGTTAACTTTTTGGTCCCCTCTTTTATTTTTTGAAAAAGATTAAACATATCCATTGTGTATTCAGTATCTGATAATCTCCATACCGGAATCTGTGGATCTGATTCTGCTGTTTTTGCAAAAACAGTAGACAGCAGAATCAGCTTCACAGATTTTATTTTCCTTTAAAATGTATTATGAGTAAATTTCAACTGAGACTTTATATGTGGGAAAACTAGAACGCCTATTGTGAGGGTGTATTTCTCTCAGAGAGAATTTACCTCAACTTCTGCCAGCATCTGTGGGGTCTCCTAACCTGGGAAACTATAATTTCTTGGCCTGGGGGTTCTGGACCATGCAGGTGGAGAGAATTCAGACCTGAACATCATGTTTCATAACATTAGCTCCTATGAACCCTCCAACCAGATGTAATACACGGTAACAAATGTTAGACAACATTGAAGTGAATATATCCAGGCCTTACGGCTGTGGCCAAATTATAGACCTGCTGAGAATGAGGTGTCAATTCAAGTGTCAGAGAAAGGACCACCAGAGAGACCATCACTGAGACTAGGAATACCTGAAAGTGCAGCAGACAAAAAAAGAGAATTTCAAGGCAGGCAGGGAGAAGACGGAGATGCGAAAGACACCAGTCCTTAGGGTGGGGAGCACACTTCCGGGACGCGAGGGACCCCTTCCAGGTGAGAGCCCAGGTGAGTCGGCGAGAGGGCAGAAGTGGGCGTGGGCGTAGCGGGCAGGGCACCCTCCCTGCGACCGGGTTGGGTGGCTTCCAGCTCCCTCGGGGTTCGCTCGGAGGGTTGGTGGTGCCCCTCTCACCGGAAACTTTTCCTCGGAACAGAACAGTTTTTTCACTCCCAGGGGAAGGAAAAACGGGTTGTTTTCCGTTGCGTTGGAAGGACAATACATCTTGCACGGGGCTTAATTTCTTCATTTATGACTTTTATTCCTCTCCTTCCTGTTCTCTACAATTGAGAAAAAAAGTCCCAGCCTTGACCCCGACGTGACTTGAACACGCAACCTTCTGATCTGGAGTCAGACGCGCTACCATTGCGCCACGAGGTCACAGCAAGCAAGCGACTTCGCATCGCTAAAGGCCTCGTTTCCCCAGTATGGTCGTAGGGCTGGGAGGCTACGGAGGAAAAATGCCCTCTTTCCTGAATTCCAGCACCAATTTAGAGCGCTGGCGAGTGTCATTTCTCGGGTGTGGGAACACGGACGCGCTGGGACATCCCAAACTGAACTGCGGCGCCGCAGCGGAGCAGCTACCCGGCGGCCGACACTCGGGCTCCGCCTTCTCCGCGTCGCGGAGTGACCCGGCGAGGGGACGCCGGGATGCGGGGACTGGCACCGGGGGGGTGGGAGTGAGGAGATGCCCGGGTGGAGGCCCGAGATCAGGGGGATCCCGGAGCCATAGGGATTCTGGGAGGGAGTGAGGGGACGCAGGAGAGAAGGGGACGCCGCGGAGGACTAGGGGACGTGGGGGTGGGTGACTCCGAGGAGCAGTAGGGACGCCGGGGGTTAGGGGGAAGGAACCAGGGACAGGAGGAAGCCCAGAGGGCAGAGGGACCCCTGGGCAGAGGGGACTCTAAGGCGGAGCGAGGGGACGTCGGGGCGGGCGAGGGGACGTCGGGGCGGGCGAGGGGACGCGGGCGGAGGAAAGAACGCCGAGGAGGGGGGTGGGGTGACTCCGGGCGGTGCTGGGGACGCCGGGGCCTGGCTGGGGGCAGCTGGGCGGCCGGCAGAGGCGTTCGCGGTCGCCGCTTGCCAGGTCCCGTGCCTCCTGTGAAGCGGCGACGTTGTCATCGGGAGGCGGCAGGACCCCGGCGTGGCGGCCGAGAGCGGATGGCGGCGCGGGGTCGCGGGGGAGTGGGGCTCAGGGCTGCTCCTTTCTCCTCTCCTCTCAGGGGACAAGCGCAGGGGTGCAGAGGGCGACGCCCACGACCAGGAAGCAGCTTGCCAAACATACTTGAAAAATGCCACAATTCTTTTTCTTTTTGAGACAGTCTCGCTCTGTTGCCCAGGCTGGAGTGCAGTGGCGCAATCTCGGCTCACTGCAACCTCCGCCTCCCGGGCTCAAGCGATTCTCCTGCCTCAGCCTCCCGAGCCTCCCGAGTAGCTGGGATTACTGGCGCCCGCCACCACGCCCGACTCATATTTTTTGTATTTTTAGTAGAGACAGGGTTTCGCCATGTTGGCCAGGCTGATCTCGAACTACCGACCTCAGGTGATCCGCCCGCCTAGGCCTCCCAAAGTGCTGGGATTACAGGCGTAAACCACCAAGCCCATATTTTATTATTTATTTATTATTATTATTTTTAAACAGGGTCTTGCTCTGTCGCCCAGACAGGAGTGCAGTGGCACGATCTAGGCTCACTGCGACCTCCTCCGCTTCCAGGTTTCAAGCGATTCTCCTGCCTTAACCTCCCAAGTAGCTGAGATTATAAGCGCACACCACCACTTCCGCTAACTTTTGTAGTTTTACTAGAGACGGGGTTTCACCATGCTGGCCAGGCTGGTCTCGAACTCCTGACCTCAAGTGACCCGCCATCCTTGGCCTCCCAAAGTGTTGGGATTACAGGCTAAGCCACCTGACTGATCCTGGCATGGTTTTCAATGGCTCATTGTCCACTTAAGACTCCGGGCTCTTGTGGGAATCTTAAGTCCCTGATTTGTACAGTACTTTCTTCTTCCTATTAAATAAGAAAAATAAAACAAGTGAGTGAATGCTTTTTTTTTTTTTCCGACGGAGTCTCGCTCTGTCACCCCAACTGGAGTGCAGTGGTGTGATATGGCCTCACTGCAACATCTGCCTCCCAGGCTCAAGTGATCCTCCTGCCTCAGCCTCCCACTTAGCTGGGATTACAGGCATGTGCCACCATCCATTGCTAATTTTTGTATTTTCAGTGGAGACGGGATTTCACCATGTTGGCCAGGCTGGTCTGGAACTCCTAGGCTCAAGTGATCCACCTGGCTGGGCCTCCCAAGGTGCTGGGATTACAGGCGTGAGGTACCGGGCCTGGCCAATAAGTGAGTGAATAAATTCTTCAGTAAAAAAGCTAGTAAATAGGCCGAGTGTGGTGGCTCATGTCTGTAGTTCCAGCACTTCAGAAGGACCAGGAGGGAGGATCGCTTGAACCCAGGAGGTCGAGGTTGCAGTGAGCCATGATCGCACCACTGCACTCCAGTCTGGGACAGAGCGAGACCCTGTTGCAAAACAAAACAAAACAAAAAACCTTATTAAATAAGAAAGATAAACTCTCCTGGTCTGTTGAAGAACATGAAGCATCAATCTTTATTCAATAAAGATAACACCCACAGGGCTTTATGCCTTTTAGAAAAGGAAAGATCTGGCCAGCGTGGTTGCTCACACCTGTAATCCCAGCACTTTGGGAGGCCTAGGCGGTTGGATCACCTGCGGTCAGGAGTTGAAGACCAGCCTGGCCAACATAGTGAAATCCCATCTCTACTAAAAATACAAAAAAAATTAGCCGGGCGTTGTGGCAGGCGCCTGTAGTCCCAGCTGCTCAGGAAGCTGAGGCAGGAGAATCGCGTGAACCAGGGAGGCCGAGGTTGCAGTCAGCCGAGATCGAGCCATTGCACTCCAGCATGGGCAACCAGAGTGAAACTCCACCTCAAAAAAAAAAAAAAAAAAAGAAAGAAAAAGAAAAAAAGGAAGAAAGAAAAGAAGGCCGGGTGCGGTGGCTCAAGCCTGTAATCCCAGCACTTTGGGAGGCCGAGACGGGCAGATCACGAGGTTAGGAGATCGAGACCATCCTGGCTCACACGGTGAAACCCCGTCTCTACTAAAAAGTACAAAAAAATAGCGGGGCGAGGTGGCGGGTGCCTGTAGTCCCAGCTACTTGGGAGGCTGAGGCAGGAGAATGGTGTAAACCCAGGAGGCGGAGCTTGCAGTGAGCTGAGATGTGGCCGCTGCACTCCAGCCTGGGCGACACAGCGAGACTCCACCTAAAAAAAAAAAGGAAAGAAAAGAAAAGAAAGATCTGGAAAGGGCCCCTCCCTTTACAGAAAGAAAAGAAGCAGCATGTTTGCTTTTCCCAGTGAAGGATCTAAGGGCTCCCAGGCTGCCTCTAACACGTCAAACAGGAAAGAAGTCTTTGATAATTTTTGTGTTTGTGTCCAGATGTGAGAGAAGAGCAGGAATTTAGGATCAACTGTGAGTCCTGAGGTGCCAGCCCCCAGGCTGTCAGAAAAGCAGGAAGCCAAGGGCTCCTTGTCTTTCCTCTGGGAGGGAAGTCAGCGGCAATTACTGATTCCACCTCCAGGTAGCCAGACACGTAAGTCACCTCCTTCTTGCTTTTGATGGCCCAGGGTGGATTGGACCCTGGTGGGGGCAGCTGGGGAGTAGTGTGCTGGTTACCCTTTCTGCTGATGACTCTGAAACTTCCTTCCTTTTTCCAGCATCAGCCACACAGCAAAGTCACTGTGAGAACTTCAGAACCTGCGTCCAGAGTCTGCTGGAAGGCCGCCCCACACCAAGGAAAGACCAGTGTCACACTCTATTTCAATAATTTTTTTTGGCCAGGCCAGGTGGCTCACATGTGTAATCCCAGCACTTTGGGAACGAGACCCTGTCTAAAAATAAAAACTTTTTTAAAAAATTCGTATTTGTTTTTGATTGAGGGTCTTTGTTGCTCAGGCTGGAGTACAGTGGTGTGATCACAGCTCACTGCAGTTTGAATGCCTAGGCTGGAGTGATTCTTCCACCTCAGCCTCCTGAGTAGCTAGGATTACAGGTGCACCACACCCATAATTAATTAAAAGTTAATTTTTAACTTTTTTGTAGAGACAGAGTCTCACTATTTTGCCCAGGCTGGTTGTGAACTCTTGGCCTCAAAAATCCTCCTGCTTCGGCCTCCCAAAGTGCTGGGATTACAGGCATGAGCCACTGCACCCAGCCTCCACCGTGTTTGGACCCCTGCTCAGATTTGTGGCTACACCTGTGATGTCCTGGCCCCTATTTTCCTGGGATATGGAACCAAGCACTGTCTTGTGTTCTATGACAGGGGCATGACGTTAAACTACAGTATGGTGTTGTGATCACATGAAGAGATTAGATCAAGTGACATGCAGATGTGGTTACAGGGTCCCTTTAAAGACTGGGACCCTGGCTGGGCACAGTGGCTCACACCTATAATCCTAGCACTTTGGGAGGCTGGGGCAGGCAGGTCGTTTGAGGTCAGGAGTTCAAGACCAGCCTGGCCAACAACATGTGAAACCCTGTCTCTATAAAACAAACAAACAAATAAACAACTAAATAATAAAGACTAGGATCCTACTTATCAGGGCAAGGACTAGGAGTGAGGCAAGCATGCAGTTGTCCAGGGTGGAAACCCATCTTATGTAAAATTTTGATACTTTGTTCATCAGAGATTTTTGCACTACTTTTTACTTTTGGAAATATTGAATATTTTAAATGTCTTGATTGGTGAGTGTTTTGACAGCTCTTTGAATTCAGCACCTGAGAGAGTTACTCAGTGCCTCGCCCTCCTCCCAGCTCTGTTGTTGCCCAGAAATTGTAAAGAATTGCTTCCTTATCTTAGAGTTTGTATATACAAACACTAAACCTTATTTATTTATTTATTTATTTATTTATTTATTTATTTATTTATGTATTGAGACAGAGTCTCGCTCTGTCGCCCAGACTGGAGTGCAGTGGCCGGATCTCGGCTCACTGCAAGCTCCGCCTCCCGGGTTCACGCCATTCTCCTGCCTCAGCCTCCCGAGTAGCTGGGACTAGAGGAGCCCACCACCACACTCGGCTAGTTTTTTGTATTTTTAGTAGAGATGGGGTTTCACCGTGTTAGCCAGGATGGTCTCGATCTCCTGACCTTATGATCCGCCCACCTCGGCCTCCCAAAGTGCTGGGATTACAGGCATGAGCCACCACGCCCAGCTAAACCTTATTGAAAACAAACAAACAAACTTCTGTAGAATATAGAAAATTGACAAATACAAACTAGGATAATTACCAACATTGGCAAGAATATGTGGAAATAAATATTCTCATGCAAGATGGGAAAAGCATGTATAAATTGGAACTTGCTTTTTGGATTGTAATATGACGAGTGTTTTTTAGACGTTTGGTCCAGGCATTTCTATTTCTAGAGAATATGTATTAAAGAAACAATTAAGGATAAATGCAAAGATATGCCCTCAAGACTGTTTTCATAAAAATTGTGTTTATAATCATGATGCCCTAGAGCATCTTGACTGTCCGTCGTACAAATGCAGCCTGGATTTCCAGGGCATGAGGCCAGGAAGCTGACCCTGTTGAGGGTTGGCCCCTACGCATGAACATACAAGGCTCCTGGAGTAAAGGGGTGTGAGAGTGAGGACTCAGAGTGACTGCTGTGGAGGAGGCGGAGGGATGCAGAGGTTACACCACAGGCACATTATGAGTGGGGCTGCCTCATCACTGAGAAAAACACACATAGCTTGGCTTCCTGGTCTCTGCTTTGTTTAGTATCATCTCACACCTGGGTAACTGGTGAGTATGTTTGTGTTTGTTTGTGAGACAGAGTCTCACTGTGTTGCTCAGGCTGGAGGGCAGTAGCACCATCGTGGCTCACTGAAGCCTTGACATCCTAGGCTCCAAGGGATCTTCCTGACTCAGCGTTCCAACTAGCTGGGACCATGGCCACCATCCCCAGCTAATTTTTTTTTTTTTTTTTTTGAGACAGAGTTTCACTCTGTTGCCCAGGCTAGAGTGCAATGGCGGGGTCTTGACTCACTGCAACCTCCGCCTCCCAGGTTCAAGCTATTCTTCTGCCTCAGCCTCCCGAGTAGCTGGGATTACACGTACGCGCTACCACGCCCAGCTAATTTGTGTATTTTTAGTAGAGACGGGGTTTCACCATGTTGGTCAGGCTGGTCTCGAACTCCTGACCTCGTGATCTGCCCGCCTTGGCCTCCCAAAGTGCTGGGATTACAAGTGTAAGCCACTGTGCACAGCCTTGCCTCCTGTTTTCTAAGGGGCTGAAAATGTTCCAGCTCCCCAAAGCCCATGGAAGACGTCATTTATCTTTTAGATTTACACATTCCTGATTCTGACAAATTCCAACCAGAACTTGAAAACTGAACCCTGAAGGTAAAAGGTACGCTGCCCCCTGGAGTGGGTTATCTCTACCACCACACCAAAGGTTTGGGGGACAGCCTTGCTCTTGCAGGCTGGCTTCTTGGGAAGTATCTGCCGACACAGTGATTTTGGGAGTAACACTTGTGAAAGGAAATGGGAGTCGGCCGGGTTGGCAGGGAGAGCTGTCAGGCCAAGATGCACATGTACAAACTATCTCTAGATGCCTGTATTCTCTGCCTGCCCATGGGGAGCTCTGTTATGTTCCATGGAAATGGCTTGCCCTGTGCCACCACCTTGCTCAGTCACGGGCCAGGGCCACTCCTGCGGGATGGTGACATTGGTTGGAAAGCTGAGGTAAGCTTAACCTCAGTTAAGCTGTCCACAAACTGCCCTTCTATGGCTGGACAGCAAGTTCTCCCTTGGAGGAGGACCTGAGGGCCACATCTGGGATTTGCCACAGCATGCAACATACAGATTTTCCCCCTCTTTGTTTTTTGCAGATTTTCCTGTTTTTGCAGATTTTGTTGGTTTTGCAGATTTTCCCCCTCTTTTTTTACCCATCTCTGATGTCCTACTTCAAGCACCAATCCCAACTATGAGTGCCCAACTGATAGATGACTCCAGATTCCTGGGAGTGAGGTCTCTGGATCATCTTCTCCAGCTCCCCCGGCTCCCTGCTAACAGGGAATTTAGCTCAAAGGAAAGAAAGAAACTCCTGTTTCATGGTGACAGTAAACCTTTCTTTTAAGTCCTAACACCAGCTAGCTATGCCACTCTTCAGGAGGAAAGATACCGTTGGAACTGGTGGCATGCCTTCAGTTTCCATCAGAAATCCTCACTGGGAGTCAGTGTGGGCTTCATGCGGAGCCCCAGACAGAGGGAGCCTCCACCAGGCTGCAGCCTCCTGACAAAAAAAGGCCAGTCTGAGGTGGCTCACACCAGTAATCCCAGCACTTTGGGAGGCCAAGGCAGGCGGATCACGAGGTCAAGAGATCGAGACCATCCTGGCCCACATGGGGAAACCCCGTCTCTACTAAAAATACAAAAATTAGCTGGGCGTGGTGGCACGTGCCTGTAGTCCCAGCTACTCAGGAGGCTGAGGCAGCAGAATCACTTGAACCTGGGAGGCAGAGGTTGCAGTGAGCTGAGATCACGCCACTGCACTCCAGCCTGGGGACAGAGTAAGACTCTGTCTCAACAAACAACAAAAAAAGGCCAATCTGAACGCCATGATAGGGAGCTGGAGGAAGAGCAAAGTGGAGTCTAGCTGCTACTTAAGGGTAAAAATGCAGATGCAGGGAGTTTGTGAACATTGGGCATTTAGATTTTCATGATGATTTTGTTTGATGCCAGATTTTCATTCATTTCATATGTTGTGCTCAAGGCCCTCGAATAGGAAAGAACCCCTCTCTTAAAAAGGGAAAATCCAAAAAGGTTACAGATAGAAACAATTGCCTTGTCTTCTCTCTCTGCCTGTCCCCCTTTTAAGGCTTCTGTGACCCTATTAGGCTTTGATTTTTCCCAAGACTTGGTTCAGTTCAAACTCATGTAAATGTGACTAAATAGTCAGGGCCTAAAGTCTTTCAATGGTCTGCCTGATTAGAAGAGTGCCATGTATGTTCAATGGTCTCAAGACACTGGAGTGATTTGGATGCCCGTTGCACTGGAGAAATGGAATGTTGGAAGTTGAAAGTGCTATGTCTGTTGGGGTAACAGCTTGTGAGCGCAACTAGCAAGAGACAAGGATCCTATCCAGCCAGTCCCTATTTGACAATAAATGTGACTTTTTCCATTTATCTTTGCCCCCATGACAATTTTGGCTGACCCTGTCTTTGGAGATCTTTTTCAGCCTAGTGAGCTGGACTCGGGACTTTATGAAACCCAAAGGCCAGGCTTCCTCAATGCTCACAAATTCAGCTGATGATGAGTGTGACTTATTAGTGAGGGCTGTGCGCAGAGAGAAGCCCAGTGGCAGACAGAGCTCTGTAATTCTGTCACCATTAATGCATATGAGGCTGTCTTTCTTGGACCACCACAGCTGTCTTCCAACCTGATATATGATATTCATTGTAAAAGAGAGAGCTTTGTCCTAATCGGGTTTTTTGTTGTTGTTTGTTTTGTTTTGTTTTTTGAGACAGAGTCTCACTCTATCACCCAGGCTGGAGTGCAGTGGCGCGATCTCGGCTCACTGCAACCTCCACCTCCCAGGTTCAAGCTATGCTCATGCCTCAGCCTTCCCAGTTGCTGGAATTACAGGCACGCACGACCACACCCGGCTAATTTTTGTATTTTTAGTACAGAAGGGGTTTTGCTGTGTTGGCCAGGCTGGTCTCAAACTCCTGACCTCAAGTGATCCACCCGCCTCGGCCTCCCAAAGTGCTGGGTTTACAGGTGTGAGCCACCGCACCTGGCCTATTCTAATTGTTAATCGGAATTTACTTTTATGGGTTTAAAATGTCTTCATGGGCCTGGTGTGGTGGCTCACACCTGTA